AAATAGGAAAATGGAGGAGGTTGCAAGTGATTGAGGACATTTCCTTATCTGAAAGTGAATGAACTAGATACGGGACATGCCTGCTGCAGTATCCAGGTCATGCAGAGAACAGAAGAGGAGGTGGGTAGGATGGAGCCCTGGGGCTCTCCACAATTTAAAGGCTGAGTTGCACAGAAGGCAAGAAACTGGCCAAGAACGCCCAGGAGGTTAGAGGATGTCAGAGGAGCGTGGGGTCAAGAAACCAAGAAAAGAAAGCATGTCAAGCGAGTGAGGACAACAGGTTGCCCATAAACTTGGTGCCATGGAGGCTGTTGGTGATTTTGCAGGGGCAGCTAGTGGGAACAAGAGCTGGCTTGAAGGGCGTTGAGGGAGAATGAGAAGGTGAGAGTGCAGAGGGCTTCGCCATGTTGGTGGTCCATTTTATGGAGTTGCTATAATTTATTGAACTGGCCTCTGTGCTAGACATTGATTTTTTTCCCCATCAGTCTGTTGGAAACCTTGCTGTAGCCCCTGGTGGTCCACACAGTCTTCTGGCCTGCCTGCAACTGTATCTAGAGGGTGCATGCTAGAAGCAGAACTGCTAGACCAAAGAGACGGTGTCTCTTTCATTTTGTTGGGATATGAGCAATCTGCCTTCATGGAGGCTGTCCAGAGCTACCTCCTCACTGATGTGGAGTAAAGTCCTATCAAGCTTAAATCTTTAGCTGTGAAAATGGAGTTTTAGTATAGGCTTTAATTTGTATACTTATTATGAGTAAAGCTGAGAATCTTTTCATATTTTCAAGAGCCATTTTGTATTTCTCATGAACTCTTTTTTCATGTCTTTTGCCCATTCTCCATTGCGTTTTTGATGTTTTCCTTATTGACTTATATTAAGACAATTATCTCTTGGATTGAAATGTTACTTCTTTTTCTAGTGCATACATTTTTGTTTTTATGCTGTTGAATATGTCAGTATTTTCTTTGATGGTTTCTGTGTTTTGTATAACCCTTCCACTCAAAGATGAAAAACCTCTTCTGAGTTTTCTTTTAGCACTTTTATAGTTTCATTAGAAACAAAGTAAATCTGCCATCATCTAGAATTTATTTGCATAAGGCACAAGATAGGAACCCTGCTTAATTTTTTCTGGATAGCTGCCCAGGTACTCAAATGCCACTCACTGGGTAACTCCTCTTACTGACATTCAGAACCACATTTATTACTATAGGGAAGGAAGAACTTTTTAACTCTGCCTTCCTATATTATCTGGCTAAAGCCCTGCAAATTAGACAAAAGACAGATTAACAAGAGAAAAACAATTGATTAATGTATGCAGTGTGCATATATAGGCAGGAAAATTCAGTGAAGTGTTTAGAATTTAGGCTTATATAGGCCATCTTAACCAAAGAGCAACGTATCTGTACAGAATTGACAAGATACAGGAAAAGGACTTTGAGTTTCTAGGTGCAGACAGTTATGGGAAGGCAACTGCATGGGGGAGCTAATGGAAAATGAGGGCTGGTAGCAAGAGTGGTCTTACAGATTCCTCTGCTGCGTCTCAGGGCTGATCAGGGTCTAGAGTTGTCTCCAGTGGCTACCTTTTGTCCTTCCTGGTAAAGAGGAGGAGGGACACCTTTATAAATTTATGTCCTGCTTTCAGGCAAACAGGGGAGAGCAGAGAGATTTCCTTGTATCTACTTCTTCTCAATTTCCTTCAACTCAAAATCATCCTTATGTCAAAGTGTCCTATTGGGGTGACATATTCTGCTACCCTTCACCACATGTATATGTCTCTCCTTTTTGTTTGTTCATGAAGTTGATCGCAATTTGCTGTTATATATATTTGTTTGCTGCCCCTCCCCTACTAGAATACAACCCCATGAGTGCAAAAATCACCCAAATGTCCTTTTAAAAAGATTGTTTAAGGATGTAAAGTGTGTATGTATGTATGTGTGTGTGTGTGTGTGTGTGTGTGTGTGTGTGTGTATTGGGTGGGCAGCAATGAGATGGATGAGTAGGGAAAAAGATGGTGCTACATGATTTCAAAGGATCCAGTTCAAAACTCCTCTCCAAAGAAAAGTTTATGGAATATGAAGGTTACTGGCTCTAATGACAAAAATTTTAGACTGAATAAGAGAAGACAGTGAAATTATGAAAAAGTGGGGTTGGCATTTGAGGTTACTTTCAGATAACCGTGGAGGTGCCAAAGATTCCATTTTCCTATTCCCTGAGCTCTGAGGTCATGGTTTGGCTTACCGGAATGGTGTTACCCTGAACAGAATGTTAAGAAGCAGTCTCTATTATTAAAAACGCAGAAAATTTGCTACCTGAGACTCATACTAGGATTAAATGGAATTACATGAATCTAAATAATGAATGCTAAATGAACAAACTGAGACAGTACTGCTCACCCAAATGCAGGGTGCTAAACAGTAATGGAGGACAATGAGAATTGTTACATTTACGTTTAGACTTTGGAATTAAAGTTACTAATTTCATTCATCTAAACATTGCAGTTATTAGTAGTTATGTCACATTTCTATTCCAAACAGAAACACTGCCAGCCTGGTTGAAATGAGAATTCACACACATGCTATCATATGAGTGTTAGAAACAAATTAATGCCAATGAAGAAGGGAGAGCGTTTTCCCAGAAGTGGCAGAGAACTAGCAAGCCTGCTGCCCAAGCTCCATGGTGGCCTGACTTCATTAGATGTTTGATGGCGTCTAGCCTATATCGTAGGTTAGACATTTGACATTTTCTTTCGTAAAACTGTAGTTTAAGACTGATTTTCCCCCTCTAATCTTCTATGTTGGTGGAAGGGAAAATAAATCTGTTGCATGTTAGGGGTATTTAAGGAATGACTTATGGGATACTTTCCACCATAAAATGTTTTTCTAGCCTGCTAGGACCATCATAGATTTAGCTGCTTTGTTCAGCTAAATATATCACTTAATATAACAAGCACAGTGCAGAGATGAATCAAACTTTAAAAAAATTAAACAGATAAAATATAGATACTGGGGCTTACATAGCTGTTTAAAGAGAACACTTGACCTTCTTCAATAAGGAATTTTCTTTTAAAAAATACTTTGGATGATAATTTTGATAGAACCACAGTGAGACTATTATTATAAAATAAATGACTAAGCATAAACGTCAAAAACATTTATTTTTTTTAAATAAACTTTTTCTGAGTCATGGTGATTCATAGTCTACAGATTTCATGGCATCTGAACTTTTAGAATAGTATTTTTTTCTCCATTCTCTACAATTAAATGAATGGCAGATATAAAGCTTATCTTAATAGTCTCTTACCTAATTTTACAAGGTCATATTTTTCTTAAAAGCATTGTATTGTGATGATAATTATTTTTCCAGATGATAAAAAATAATTTCAAGAAGTATTCCACTGAGAAAGCTTGTGGAATGTTCCCATTATCTTTTTTATCGTTTAGCATGTCTCCAAACCCCTGTTTGTTCATTTTTTTCTACATTCTCTTTCTCCATGTGGGAGTTGAGAGGCTCACCCAGCTCTTTTCTGAGCCCTTGACTTTGAAGCCACCTTCAGTGGATCTGCCATCATTTCTCACTGAGACTGAGTCACAAAATTGAGCTTTGTTTGATCTCAAGTGACTGTCCTAGCCACATCCTCCCCACCTTAGGCCCCAGCCTCCAGCATCTGGACCACAGCACACTCCATCTGGTCTCACTTTTGCATGTTGTCCACTCTGCTTCCATGCTGTCTTGCCCTGTGCAGACCTGGAGGTCAGGCCCTCTGCAGCTGGTCCTCCTGTCAGGACCCCTCAGTACTTAGGACACTCCTTGCCTCCCTCAGAACAGTGTTTGGCATCGCTGCTCAGTGAATGCCTGATCCATGGAACTTCCCTGCACAGACCCTCATTTCAGGCTCATTTGCATACCCCTGGAGTTCCTCCCTTTTAAGACCCTCTTGATTTGATGATATTTACTAACTATAGAAGCTGGTGTTAAACAAAAAACCTTTGAGGATGGAAGTTTTTCTGAAACAAAGGGTTTATTGGGCCATATTCCAGCCACAAAAAGGACCAGGTCCTGGGGCCTGCAGTCTGAACCAGCAGCAGCAGGGTAGGTGGAGAAAACAACATGTCCGCCATCCTGGAGCCGACGGGCTCTTTTATACATTACATTTTGGGGAAGATAGATGTAAGTTGTTTTGAAAGAATTTACATTGGCTACAGATAAAGGGGATGGGAAAAGGTGGAGCAGGAAAGTTCTGGGAGAGGTACAGAGTCCATAAGGAAGTGGTATTTGCTGATTCTGGATGGGTTGTGGGCAACAGTCCAGAAAGTTCATGTGTAAGCGGGATGCGGTGGCATGTGGTGGTCGGCTGCTCTTTCTAGATAAGAGCTGAAATAGTCACCAAAGTTGATTCAACGTTTCTACACACAATCAGGAATGTGGGCAGCCTTTCGTTGGGTTTGGCTCAAGGCTGTTAACCGATTAATCTCTTACCTGTTTCTCCCACCCTCCCATCTGCTGAATTTAATTTAGGACATCTCAGAATTTTTCTCTTGTCAGTGGGAATGACACTCAGAGGATCACTTTTCTTTTGATCACATTATGACTCACTTCAGAAGGCTCTTGATCGATAGCAGTACTTATTAAGAGTGGGCCTCATGCCATGTCCATTGCCGTGACAGAACATTCAGAAGAGTACATTGCAGGGTACTGAGTCTCTAAAATGGAGTCTTAACCAAACAAAAACAACGTGTGGTATTGATGCATAGCACACCGTTAGGATACAACCATCACCAGAAAGAACTAGGATACTGCCAATGAGAGATTCAAGATGACTTGTTTGTTTTGCTTAGTTTTGTGTTTAAAGGAGAAATTGGATAACTCCTGAACTGGCAGGTCTATTTTCTATGCTGGAATACACAGGCAGTCATTTTCCTTGGGGACATGAACCTGTAGAATCTCTGGGTTATGTAATCCTGATTGACATGATAAAATGGCTCTCTCTTCCTGTCCTCTTAAGGGAGGCCATCAGCCGCGTTTGTGAAGCTGTCCCTGGAGCCAAGGGAGCCTTCAGGAAGAGAAAGGTACTGTCCCCTCGGCTCTGCGTCTGTGTCTCCTCCTCTTCTTCACCCCCCTGTCATCACTCAGCATCTTTAATCACATACTATTGTTCAATCCCACTTCCCATGGCCTGGTTCTTGTCACTTTCTGGGGGGTTGGGGGTGGGGGAAGAAAAAGGCATCCCTTAGTTTAAAGGGGGTAACTTGCAGTGGCTCTTGTCACTTTTAAAAACAGAAAAAGCTTAGATTCCCTCGCTCTGCCATGTGGCTGATGAGGACAGTTAGCTGTCACTGCCAACCCAAAGCAGACACCCTGGTTACTCGCCGTGAACCTAAACCTAAAGATGATGATGACAGCAGACATGTAAAACAGGGCCAGGCATTCTCTGAAGCCTTCGGAATCATTAATTTGCTGCATTAGAATAACCCTCTAAGGTAGATACATGCCCCCAGTGGTTTGCTGGTAAAAGTTTAACAACTGTCCTTTGGGGGTGGGTGACTGAGAAGCACTAAATGCGCAGTGTGTGTTTCCATGGTGTAATTACTTCCAGCATGGGCAAGTTCGGGCTCTAACATGATATCTCTAAAAGGGATTGTGGAGCTGAGCTCCGGCCCCGACCGCCTGGCTCCAGGGTCTGCGTGTTCAACCCCTAACTTGACCTTTCCATCCTGAGGTGTTTGAACCAGAAGACAAAAGCAAAACTGGATTAAGAGAAAGCTCAGAAAAACTCCTTACTTAAGTGTCTAGTAAATACATAACTAAAACCCCACCATCAGGGCTTTTCTGTGCCTGGACTGATTGTGGGAGAGTATCTCTGAATCTGTCCTGCGGCTGAGGTTTTGGGGCAGACTCTGTGCTTGCCTTTGCTGGTCCCAGGGCTTTGGGTGGGTTCTATCTTCATAGCTTAGGGACATTCGTGACCCACAGGACAACTGAGTTTCAGGCAGAGAACTTTGGATGAAGGCTTAGATGTGCCAGCCTATGTTCCAGTCAGCCCACAGGGGATATAAAAAGATAAGCAAGCCTCCAGCATCTTGAATACAGGAACTAGGAGGGTGTCTGAGAACAGAGACAGGGAACATCCTCTTTCAGAGCCAGATGGTGCCCAACCAGCAAGTCTTGGGGTACCCTCCTGCTGCTCTGGGTGAGACGGTGAAAACGATGCTGACTTCTGGGCTCCACCAGGTATACTTACTCAGGGCCCAGGCAGCGCTATCTTTAAATAGCTTTGACAGGAGACACCCAAGCAGTGCCTGCCTGGTTAAGAACTAGTGTTAATTGGCATATCAAAGAGGGCGTGTTCTAATCTGAATAGGAGTGTTGGGTGTTTAGCAATGGACAGAGACAAGTGTTGGCAGTGCCAATGCAGGGACTTAGGGAGAAGGTGCCTGGCTGGAGAACATAGCTCCTATGGTCTCCCCTGCCCACGCGCCCCTCCCATTCCACAGGAATGCTCCAAGAACGTTTCTGACTGGCTGATGGATGCACCAGTTAGAGCCAAACTGAGTCTGTCCATCCTTGTGCTGGCTCTAAATGAATTCTAATTGGACCATCCACGTGAACTCTGACCTGGAGGATGTGCTGGCCAAAGCATTTGTGTTCTATTCCTTCAGCAATGAGCATGCTCATGACCACATAGGATCATTCATAAGCCCCTAAGCTGGACGATTTAGTCTGGCCCTGACTGGCTGTGATGAAGCTGGTGTCTGTGTCTGCAAAGCCCTGGCCTGTGGTGTTTTCCCCAGGCTTACGAGTCACCCATGAGACGTATCCCAGTGTGAGCTGCCTGAGACACTGATGCCTCTGCCTTTCCCTCATCTCAGTGTGTGCATAGTAGCTGTTTTACAATTTGCATATTGCGCATTCTAGAATTTTTGTGTTAGTGTTGCATCCCATCCTCCCAGCTCATTTGTAACACAATTTTCTTCATGTGCCTAATGAGAGTGGGAAGGTGGAGGTCTGGGGATGTGGCAAATAGGAACAACATAGAGGCTCCAACAGTGTGGCCTCCCGTGAATCAAAAGCTAAAACACTGCTGCTTGATTTCTTAGCCTCCGAGCAAGATGCTGTCCAGCATCTTGGGCAAGAGCAACCTCCAGTTTGCGGGGATGAGCATCTCCCTGACCATATCCACTGCCAGCCTGAACCTGCGGACGCCGGACTCGAAACAGGTCTGTAGGCTCTCAAGCCACTGCCCTGTCCAAGGCTCCCACACAGTGGGGGACAGGGTGTGTGTGTGTGTCACAGGGCTTCACACTTCAAACTTTACCAGGTCTGTGTGGAGCACATTTCTGTAAAACTTTCACAAGTCTGCAAACTTTGATTGGCCACTTCTAAGGGTCATCAACGAGATGATAGATGGACTTGGTTCTGAAAAAAATTGCCTTTTTTTGAGGATAACGCATGAAATCATTGGTTTACTTACAATGTAAAAAGAGGTATACGTATGTGCAAAAGTCTCCTCTTAACGTCCTTGCCCCTATTTTGTTTTCTTTTATACCATATTCCATTCATTCTCCAGCCCACATTTTATTTTCACATTTTATCATCTTTTAAATGAATGGCATGTTGTGGTTTCTGACTATTTTTTCTTTCTTAGGGGGTTATTATTTTGGAGCCTCTCACAGTTGCTGGTGTGATAGGGTTGATGTGATGTAGCATATCTGTGGCATTCCCAGTGTGGGAAGTATTGGTTTATTTACGCAAATTCTGGTTAGGATGGTTGGGTTTCTCTGCAGTATCTATCTTTTAGGTTTCTCTGGTTGTTAGTTCCTTCCACTGAAAAAATGGTTATATGATATTATTATATAACCTGTCTGGTCATTCCCTAAAAGACCTTACTCCCAATGCTGTCTTTATTTGACCTGATTCAGAGCTTTCCCAGAGAAAAATGTCTCTTCCCAAGGGGGAAGAGTAATAACTCTTCCCAAGGGGGTTTTTGTCAAGAACAATTAGAGGCAATTTTTTAACATCAAGACTCAAATGGGTATATGAGCAGCTGCCCTGTGTACCAATAGGTAAAAATGCTTGTAATCATAATATGCCTTCATCTGCTCTGCTCAGCCTGGGCCTCCATTGCCGGCAGCATGAGCTGGAAATCAGATGTACCCACACTGCACAATGGGCTATCCACACACCTTTGGATGACACACTTCCTGACTCTGGCAGTATGTCACCAGGGATGCCCAGGGGTACCATTATGTTGCCATACATATTTGTATTTATTGATTTCCAAATTCTCCAAGTAAGCAAGCAGCACCCCCACCTTCATTTAGTTCTCTGCCCCACCCTCCACATCTGAGATGTTGAAATAAATTCTAGATCCAGAATAGAAACAAGAGGCAATTCTGGGCTTTGTTTTGACATACTGGATGCCACTTGTCACTTCATTCCTTTGTCCTGACTCAAGTGAGAGGTGAACCCTCGTATTTTTTCATTAGCTCTTCTAAGGGATGGGTTAACTGGTCATTTAAGTGGTAGATTCAGAAACGTCAACAGGCTCAGCCTCTCTCTGGAGCTACCTCAAGTCTGAGCACCTGTGACAGCTAAGGGAGGTTGGTCCCCTCAGCTCTGCATTCATATGCCCACATCCATTCTCATTCTATGTGACTTTTATTTTGCATCTTTTCTTTCTAGGAATCCTCATACTGTGGTTCTTAATTCTGTGAGATCTTATCTCTTAATTCTCGTTTTACCTAATTCCCCACTTCAAAATAAAGAGATGTGAACTCAGAAATAGAAGAAAGGATGAGGCCACCAGGGTTGGCCCTCTCCATCCTGGGATTGGAGCTGGTTAGGTGTGTCCATCGTTGTCCTGCCCTTGGTTTAGGTGGATGGGCATGAGTGTGGGTAGATGCTACCACGGACATCATGATCACAGTCTGAGGAAGGTTTGATGGGAGCCAGAGCTCACATCTTTCTGGCTCTCCTGTTTGGCTGTGTTTAGTTAGGGCATGACTACAGCAAACCGAGAACAAGCCAAGTGCACACTCCATTCTCAATACAGAGAGACAGCAGAAAGGCAGCGCCTGCTCCCATCTGCAGAGCTCTCAAGGAGCAGAAAAAGATGAAACACCCTCAGAGCAAAAACACATGCTTTCGGTTAATTAGCTCTAATTTCCCTTCTCTCCTTTTCAATTCCTCTTAGCCAAAGGGATAATATACAATCACACAGTAATGGTTGTGCGTTGTGTTGAACAAATATAATTTCTATTTTTCGCCTACATCTTACTGTCCACATTGATTTCCAAACCCCAGTTTTAGAACTGTTTTATAAGTAAAAATTAAATAAACAAAACTTAATTTTAGATGTCATAGTTTATCATCATTTGGGGACTGCTATTGCTCTCTCAGTAGCCCATTACCCCTGAACAAGAGAGGCAGGATTCCAGAGAATTTCAAAGGGCAACTATTTGTTTGACCCATCTGGGCTTGGGCACAGGCCACAGAGCCGGACTCACTGCTTTTATTAATTTACAGTTGACCCTTGAACAATGCTGGGGTTAGAGGCGCTGACCCCTGCACCTAAAAATCCACGTATAACTTGACTTCCCCAAAACGCAGCTACTATATACTCAGGTTTTTCTAGATCCCGAGTAGTTTTACAAGTTCTAACAACTGAAGTAGGCATTTAAAAATACTTTTTTTCTAACCTTACAATTCAGTTATAGTTTTTCTTCGAGTTTTATAGGAGCATGGTTGGAAAACTCCCTTGGATGTTAGGATTATGGGTCTGTAAATTCTGACTGACCACCAGTGAGGGCCTGAGGGGACTGAGCCAAAATAAACCTGGTTATATTGGGAAGGAAACAAGAGTGCTGTTTCCACCCTTGGAAATTTACTTCAATGTCATTTCAGTATCTTTAAAAAGATAAAAGTAGCATGGAAGACTTATGTCTCTTTTTAAATTTAGGGCAGCTTCTAATTTACTCAGTGTCTACTCTGTACCCTGAAGTTTATAATGCTAATGGAAATTTCCCATTTTAAAATGAACTTGGAATGTCCTTGCTGGTTTTTAAATTGATAAATTACAAGAATGCCTGAGATGGTATCGATTATTTATCTTAGATGCAGGCTTTCCAATTTATGTGCACATGACACTAATGGAATGAAGTAGGGGACAGCCACAGTTCCCTCCACTTCAGCTATGGGGTCTATATGGAAGACCCCAAATGTCCTTGGGAACAGACACTGCACAGCTAAAATGTTTTAGTGGGTGGATGAGACATTTTCCTTCTCAGGAATGGCTGTTAAGACCATGTGTGTTCAGTCACAACTTTTGCTGTTGCACTTGGAGCAAGCCACTGGGCCCCTCTGGGCCTCAGGCTCCCCATCTGTGAAATGTGATTACAGTAGCTCCTACATCACAAGGCTGCTATAAAACTTATTAAATGAGCTAATTCTGGCAAAGCTGCTAGATGAGCAGCTGACATGTTGTGAAAGTTCATTAAAGGTTATCTATTGTTATTACTTTCATAATTGTTATTTTCATTGAGTACCAAATTTTACCACTTTGGGAAACCTTGTTGATGTGTATTGCCTGCCAACAAACAGTTGGTTTTCCAAGACAGGAAGGGTAATAACAATGCATCTCGTTTCTTGTTTTTGATCTGGCAGATTATAGCAAATCACCACATGCAGTCCATCTCCTTTGCCTCCGGCGGGGACCCGGTAAGTGCCCTTGCCTTTGTTTTCTCCTGACCGTGTGGGGAATTGCTGAGAAGGGGCCCTGCTTCCAAGGTGTGCCTCTTGACACTCTCAAGAAAGTTTACTGTGACACCAACTATTTCCCCTTCCTGATTTCATAAGCTCTGCCTGATTATCATTAATTTTCATTTCATTAGCCAAGAGCTGTTAACAATCTTTGAAGCACGGACGTTCTTAAGAGGTAATGAAATAGGTTACCAGCATTTCAGAGTTGCCCAGTGTTCTCTTCTCCTGACTCTGCCTGCCCTGCTTTCTTCTGTTTTTCTATCGGACCTCCACGGGGTCCTCCATTTTTGTATTTTAAATCCACTCAAAGGCTGTGAATTTACTTAGTTTGGTTTAGTCATAAATATTTGTAATTGACGTTTTTCTCTCCAAATTTACCCTGTAGTCTTTTAATGGTTTGTTTACTCAATGGAAAGAGTTGTGGAGAGACAGAGATACAGGATAGAGAATAGAATGAGAATATCCTGTTTTTGCATCACTTCTTTTATAAAGAAGATGCAATAACAATGGTATTTGCTCCCATGTTTGGTCGAAAAGGCAACATTTCAATGTCAGCGTTCAGTTTCAGTGTTGGGAAAGGCAGGACTCAGGGCCACACCCGCACTGCTGTTCACTGTGGGCAGCCCAGCCCTTCGAAGAAACCCAGGCAGAAAATCAGTCATGAGGGAAGGAGATGCAGAAAACACAACTAGCCCTTTCCAGCAGTTAAGGGGAGAAACGGTTCCTCTTCGAGAATGTTACCATGTTATTTTTTATTAGTCTGGGTAAAGTTCTTACCAGTCCAGAGAAACAGCTAAAAATTAGAACAGAATGAGTTTTCTTTGGAGGTAGATTTACTAAAAAAATTGTTCTATATCCTGGCAAGATGTGCTGTTGCTGTTAAGTGGCCTTTTTATAATAAAAGAATGGTAGCTTATAGTGGTGTTTTTATTATTGTTGTTGTTTTGTAATATTTTTCCAAATTATCAGTAGGTAATGCTCATATTTTAAGTAAAAGTTTACCAATCCAAGGTACCCTGAAGTAATCGGTTCACATATTATTCCTTATCCCAAGGCCTTGTCTATTTCTAGCCCGGGAAGGGAATCTTCCCCATGCCCCATCACACATCTTTCCTCCCAGGCTCCTTTTACCTGGGTAACTTGATTGTAGCACTGCTGCTGGCACACTGAAAGCCATATCAGGGGAGTCATTTCCTCTACAGCGTCTACATTTCCAAAAAGTAGTGCAATCATGATGCCGAGTGTACTAGCTATAGGAGAGCTGGCACCCCGCCCTCCCCTCCCCCAACTGCTGCAGCTGGCAGGGGGGCATCACCACAGGCATTACCCCAGCATCGCTCCTCCCACTCCTGCCAGGAGAGCTCACTGCAAGGGGAAGCCTCAGCATCTCCCCCTCTCAGACCCTTGAGCCAAGGGCACCATCAGGAGAAGGGATTTGTCCATTCTGAAGATGGTTCTCTGCTCTTAAACTTCTGCTTAATTGTCAAAGGATGTCCAGAGCACCATTTAACCATTTCATTCAGTGGGTTCAACTAGCTTTGGCCCTTTTTCATACTTAGGGTCTTGTTTTCAAGTCTTCTATGATAGTTTCCTCTCCCCCCGCTTCCTTTCCCTTTCCTTCCTTTACTTTCTTTGTGATCCTTTAATTTTTTTACATTTCACTTTAAAATGAATGACCTCATTGAGAAGTATATTTAGAAAGTGAAAGTCTTCCATAATAAAACCCATCATAGGTGCATTTCTGAGGATAATATCTAGACATGAATGTACACCTGTTCTTTGCCTATGCTACACCTACATACATATCTGTACTTATGCCTTTACCTATATCTGTATCTGGCTCTAACTAACTTGCAGTGGCTGTCTACTTGTTTGACCAGTGTGATACTTGAGCCATAATTTCTTAAATTTGGAAGGCATCCCAGTTTGAAAAGTAAAAGGAAGAAACATTGCATAATTGCATTAATAACTTCTTTCAAGAAGCTGTCTCAAACCTCATCTTCATGATGATATCACAAGTGGAATTGCAGAGATCTAGAAAATGAGAAGCCAAATACATTGTCCTGTATTAAAATTATTTGGTTCTCCAGGATGCACACAGGTCTGTGAACTATTTTCACTTTTTCTTATCACTTCTTCATTAAAAAAAAAAGAAAAGAAAAAAAAAGGAAGCACTCGGTGACCCTTAAAGTAATTCATAACCTTTTATATTCTTTCTGATTTTTTTCTGATACAGGAAATGTCACCATACCAGGGGATAGGAAGCCTGGTTACTTTTCATTTCCACTTAAACCTAAAATCCAAGTGCATGTCACATTGTGCATGAATTCCCATACCAAATTGGTTTGTAATCATTACAATTGGTAGGTGTTTTAAATAAAACCAAGAATTCTAGATTCTATTCATTTTTCTGCTACTAAGTGTATATCTACTTATTTCTCTGTGCCTCAATTTACCAGGTAAGAAAATGGTATTCTGAAATGTCAAATAAGACATACTGGAAAACACTGTTAACCCCTACAAAAAAGGGCACGCTATAATTATAAATACTACTATTAGCAGTGTTAAAAGACCACCAAAAGAGTGCCAGAATAATGGTCAGGCTCAGAAAGTCGTGGGAAATAAGAACAGAGGTGGATAAATACAGAATAGTCACTTGGCAGCCTGATCTTTGGAACCTCCTGTGCTCATTGTGTAATGTCAAGAACATTGTTTTGAACAGCAATATACTCCCCCATGGGGCCAGAAGAAAAACCAATATTGGCACCAGAAAAATCTATGTCCTGGCTTGGCCATTGAGTGACAGGGACACATCATATCTCCTTTCTGGCCCTCCTTCCCTAGCTTTGAGCCAGAACAGAGCTTCTCAGACTGGAGTAAGAATTTAAAAAGAAGAATCTCCTTGTGTATGCCACTAGTATTGATTAAAGTTAATTTTGTTACCCAAATATGTTTAAAAAGTATTAAGTAAAGACTCCTTATTACTTTTTGTTGAGCTGTAAATCCCAATCAAACTTGGAAGTTAAATACTAATAAACACAGTAAAACCAATAACCTTCAAAGTAACATTAATTCACTGAAATTGATAAAGTTTTGCTGAAACTAAATCTCTGCTATGAGTGTGACTCTAGAACTGGCCACCATGGTGCATTTAGAATCTTTTTAGGTCAGCATTTCCTACTACCATGGGTGCCAGGTGACTCAGTCCTTTCACTAATTTCTTCTATTCAAGCAAACACTTCAGTTGTACATCACTGTGTACAAATGTGACATTAATTTGCTTCTGGTGGGGCGAAGGAATCTAGCCTAACAGTTATTTCCTCTCTAATTTTTTAAAAATCAGGTATCCATAATGTTGCAAACCCAACTGAAAGTCTTGGTACTGAAATTGCATGCAGAACACGATGACATGGTGGTCATTCAGATGATCCAGAATATTCTATTTTTAATTTTTAAGATTATCATGAAAATGAAAACTCAAAATTAAAAGGAAATTCTGGTGACATCTCAAATGCTGGGGAGCACACCTGCCCAACCCTAGGTTCCATGGATCTCAGTTTAAGAAACAATAGTGCTCCCTAAGGACCTTTCTGAAATTAACGTCTCCTGAATCCAGGAAAAGGGTCTATGATTACAAGCTACAATCCTTATTTTTGCCAATAGCTTCAGAGTCTGACCAGATCTCCTTGATGGAAATGACCAGAGGCCAGGTAGACTGGTTTGACTGTCGCTTCCTCACTTTCTGAGGTCAGCCTGTGAGTATACCAATAGGCAGTGGACTGAATGGGAAGAGGAAAGAGCTTAGCCAGGCTGCACGCTGGAAAGTGACCCAGGGGTAGCAGCCTGTTTGTTATGTGAAGAGCTGCTGGAAGAGCGCTCCTCCCCCTGCTTGGTCTTACTGTGTCATTGTGAGTTCCGGGAGTAATGACCTATGGAAAGTGTCTTCACCCTGCAGTGGGTGCTCAATAATCATTGCACTCCCACCCACATGCACACATGCACAGTCCCTCTTGCCCTCTCTCATTGGAGGGTTTTCTGGGAGCAATGGACAGAGAGAAGCAGTCGGCTCCTCTGCCCACAGAGCATAACAAGGAACTCACGCAGGAATCTTTCAGATGCCGAAAACAGCAGGAGCGAATCAATAACCTTGCAGCCCTTCAAAGCAGTAACACTTGGGAAATGTCTGCAACAATGGGATAGATCTTTATGAGTTTCCTTTCACCCCCTGAGACTTTTTTGAATGTTGAAAATGTTAGCTTTGCAGAGAAGTCTTTTCTGCTTTCAAGAATTAAGAGAATTATTGTTCCCTCTGACTTTTTAGAAACTACAATCCACATGATTACCTGGGCCCACTTCTGAGTCAATATATCCTCTGCACTGATTAGCTGAGGAGAAAAGCAAGGAGGCTCATGTTTCACATATAAGGATGGAACTTCTAAATCGAGCTCATATTTTGAAACATCTTTAAAAAATTAAAATCACTACTTATGTCCAAGAAGAAAAGAACCATTGTATCTCACCCTGTGAGGGAGATTTGCATCAACCGTTTGAAAACCCACTGCTGCATTTCTTCTAGACCAGCCATTCTCTTTATTTTATTTTATTATTTATTTATTTTAGCTGAGCCATCCTGCCACCTGTCCACCTGTTGGCAGCTCAGCGGCAGCTCAGCTCGGACCGGGAATCGAACTGGCAACCCTGTTGCTCAGAGCTCACACTCTTGAGCG